ACTAGCGGGAAGGTAAACGGCGTTCCGTGTGCTGCGCTGGCTCGCCAGATGCAGCTTGTCACGCTGGCCACGTGACCCGGAAGTGTCTGCGGACAGCGCTGGCTCCTGGCCTATAGAGTGAGATGAGCGCACAACCCTAGAGTCTGGCAAGACTGGCCCGTACGGGCAGGGGTACCTTTACCTTTACCTTTAACCATACATTACGTTATAATGTTTTGCTAGTTCATATATTTAGAGTCTTCTCAGCTGTAGTTTCTATCCACGGGACTCTTCCCATATAAAGCTGTAGGAGGTTTGCTTACTTCTGGATATGTGTGATTGCTGAGTTTCTAGTTTCCAGTAGGCAGATGCTGCACCTAATACAGTATGCCTTTTGGTTGATGGTGGTCCTTATGGAGACAAAACAGCACCATTCCTGCAGAAGAGAGAGGTATCAGCAGGTTTGGGGAGCCCCAAGGTTTGTAGAAGTAAAAAAAGAAAAAAAGTTTAGAAATAAGAGCTGGGCATAATGCCATTTATGTATGTATTCAATACATGTCCCCCTTTAAAAAAATCCCTGGGTACACATCCTAGTGAAATGTGCTGTCCACACCTATGACCAGCATACCTCTGTTTCTGACTAGAATGACTAGCAACCATGTGGGGAACAAATTGGCTGTACCAAAACCTCCTTTTTGTTTTCAAAATGCAGGGATATTCTAGAGTAGAGTAACATGACTCAGCATGCTTTAGAAAAACCGAAAGGGTGGCATCAGAACTCTTCATGTTGAAAAACCATAACAAAGTAAGGCAGCTTTGGGTTGGAAGTAGACCATTTAAACTAAACTATATTAGCAAGCGTTCTGCAGAATTATTCTGACCCTGTATTGACTTTAAATATAACTTTTACCACCTAGGCTTATACCTTGCCAAAGCCAGTGACTGAAATAATGCATGATCCTCAAATTTAAATTCTTCTGTGTTAAGGTAACATTAATTCAGTTCAAAGAAGCTGGGATTCTTTCAGACAGCTAAACCAAGTTCCTAAAACTTGAGGCAATATAGATATGCACTGTAGTTTTTGAAAATCAAAACTTAGAGAAATTAGTAATCATTTCCAGTCTTGCAGCCAGCCCATAAAATCTCTAGTTGCAGCCTAATTTGTTTAGAAGCAACCCTCACGATATTTCTAAAATAGAGAAAAGGTTGTGTTGGAAAAGATACTGGCTTTATAGTTAAGATGGAAATATACTGGCATCTGGCACTATGATAATCTCATACTCAAATTCTCAAGGATAAAATGTGTATTTTCTTGAACTGAGCCAGAAACTAATATCAGTTTTGTTTTCATATAAATAGCAGGTGGAAACATGAGTGTAGCCAAGGGGGGGCAGCTCCCCCTAAATCAGTAAAAATCAATACAAATCTGAGGTTCTGCCCCCCAAAAACAAAAGCCTGCCCAACAAAAATCCTGGCTACGCCCATGGATGGAAATGTTAGAAATTTAGCTTTATACTGAGGTTAGTTTGGGCCTTGGTTATAGATGTTGCTTTTAATATGTAAATAGGTATTTTTAAAATAGAAGCATAAAGATTGGTGTCCCTATTTTACACTCTTGCAGTGCAATCCTATACATGATTACTCAGAAATAAGTCCCATTGTGCTCAGTGATACTTACTCCTAGATAAGGATGCCTAGGATTGAAGCCTTAGGTTCATGGTAGGGGCTTTCATGAGCCCAGTGTGATTCTTTTTCTTGGAACAGTTGCTCCTTGTTCCACATGGCAACTACTTTGGTACCTGGTGTCAGGTTCAAAGCAGTTTGCTATGTAGCATGGGAGCAAGGTAGCTGAGCTGCTATTCAAAGGTTCAAAGAATTAGTTTAATTGGATCCTGTCATAATTTTATGTGAATTTTTGGTACATCGCAGCAGAATGCAAACACAGCATTTTTCAGATGTAGAATTTGCTTCCAGGAAAATTTCTCTTTTGTGGGTACTTGCACAGCTTCATGTTCTGCATTTTATTCAGTTGAATCAAGCATCACGTATCTCTTGCTATTTCAGGCTGTGGTTTAAGTAGTTTGTGTTGTGCAAGAGAAAATCCCTTACAGGAGGTCAGAGCTTCCTTTTGATGTTTCCTAGTGCCAAAGAGGCAAATTTTTGCTCAGCTTAAAAAGCAACTTGTCCTTTCAGTAGTTGGAGTACTAAAAACATGTTTTTCAAAAAGCTCTTTCTGCGCAGATAGGTCTCCTATGCATGTATATATGACTTAAGGGTGTTTCAAGACATCTGCTTTTCCCAGCTACAGTAGTGCTTTTGCAGGTAACTGACATTCGGATATGCTAGTATTCACATGCTGGATGACAGCTGTGCCAACCCCTGGGTGGATTACTGCTAGTCAAAAAGTTACTAGCTGGATCAGCACCCATGTCAGGGGACAGCAACCATTGTATTAAAGCTCCGCTGTGTGGTTTTTCTCATTTTGCTTCTGGGTTTGTGGCTACTGCTGTGGGCAGATCTGACATATGATACCTCAAGGCTACACCCTACAGATTGGTGTACCACCTATGCTACACTGATTACAGGCACTAATTATGGATAATTATGTACAGGCATGTCTGTGTAAATGAATAGTTTTGCAGCACAGGTTGATACAGAAATAAGCTCCACAGAGGTTAAGGCAACCTTCTGCCAGGCAAGTGTGTTTAGGACTGCAGCCATAATTCTGCATATCTTAAAATTTTACTATTTAGGGTTCTGCAGTACATGCTGTAACTGGTGAGAAAAGTATCCTGTATTGTTGAGTACATGGCACATATTGCTGTTCTACTTGCCTATACCAAGCCCTAACCATCCTTGCTGCTGTAAATCACCAACATAATGTGGTTTTAGAGACACAGTGCCAGTGTAATTGTTCTTAGGATATGACAGCTCTTTCCCCCTCTTCAGACATATACATATGCACACCCAAATCATCTTGCATTAAAAAAATATTGTTATTATTTATTGCACTTATTAGTTGCTTTGAAAAAAGAAGTAACTCAAAGTGATTTACAAAATAGTACAAATATTAGAACCAGTATAAAGCTAAAACAAAATAAAAACATGAAAAACAGGCAGATCTGTCACATCCTACCCGTAGAAAGAGGCCATAGATACCTAAAATTCTCCAAATGAAGGGCCAAGGCCCTGGGCAAAAAGAAATGTCCTTGCCTGGTGTCTACAAGTAGATAGTGAAGGTACCAGGCATGCTTCCCTGGGGACAGCATTCTATATGTGGGTTGCTACCACTGAAAAGGTTTATTCTCATGGGGACATACAGAGAAGGGCCTCAGATACTGAATTCAGGGTCTAGGTTGCTTCATGTGAGAAGAGGCAGTCCTTGAGAGATGGGAGTCCTGAGCCACAAATGCTCATAGGCTTCATCAAGAGTGCTGGCATATTAGCTTTGATGGCTGCTGCTGTCCTAACTCAGCGGCTGCTAGACAACATTGAGCAGCTTGCTGTACAGTACTAGCATTTGGATCCTGTGTTTTTCTGATGCAATTACAGGCCATTTCTATGTCTGCATCATCTCAAACCTATTGCTTAAGTCATCTTTTTCCATTCAGGCAGAAAATTCACTACACAAATGAGTCAGGGCATAAATATTTAGGATGCAATATACTGTACCGAGTTTGCTAGGAGTAAACCCCATTAAACTGAATGGGACTTAGGTTTGTGTAAACATGTACAGAGTTGTCCTGTAAGTAGGCTAAAGTCAATTGCATTATGCTGTTAGCTTGCTTCATCCTCATGTGTACTACTCACTTGAAACCAGGACCTTATTCCTCGTAGCACATCATAATCCTATCCAATTGTGAAGTCATAAGTAGAAGATTATGACTTTGAGTGAAGAGCAAGAGTCAGCATTAGAAGCAGATGAAGTCTTAAAGCTACGATCTTACCCGTTGTCATATATATATATATTGTCCACTAAGAAATGAGAAGTCCACACCTGTATAATTTTCTGTGTTACAGTATTTAAGCACAGTACTTTGCCAATTATTTTCTGAGGGACATCCATTCATTTTTTAAAAATGAAAATAGTAAGTTGTTAGCCTCGAAACTTGGAGGCTAAATTATTCCTTAAAGATTCATCCACAGACTTAAATCCCTCTTTGGCACGTATCTCTAAGCACTTTGAGAGCTGCTTAACTTCTTACAGATGCTCTGTCTGATGTTCTATCTCAGGGGTAGGGAACCTCAGGTCCAAATGCCAAATACGGCCATCTACCCCCTCTAGCCCTTCTTTGCACCCTGAGTGAGTGTTTTTGCCTGGCTGGAATAATGCCTTTTGCTTGTCTGGATGTAGGATATAGAGGGGTGTTTGAGTATACTCAGGCTCAACTACTCAGTACTCAAATACTCTGCCGTGACAAGGTATAATTTATATTTGTTGCTGTGCCCATTTTTGCCTACCTATGGCACATGGCTTTGGAAGGTTATCTAGAAAGGAATGAAGGAATGTGTCCCTTTACTTTTCTTTCCCATTAGGAATTTCCTTACAAACTTTCATCCGAGTGAAATGATGCTATATATATAATTTACAGCCGTACCTTGGTTGTCGAATGCCTTGGTACTTGTCCGTTTTGGCTCCTGAACACCACAAACCTGGAAGAGGGGGTTCTGGTTAGCAAATGTTCTTTGGAAGCCGAACGTCCAATGCCATGGCTTCCGATTGATTGAAGGAAGCTCCTCAGCCAATTGGAAGCCGCACCTTGGTTTTCAGACATTTTTGGAAGTCAGGTGGACTTCCAGAAAGCATTCTGTTCGACAACCAAAGTACGACTGTACAGGAAAAGAAACAGCATGAAAAGGGGGAAATGAAGGGTTTAATAGGAATACTTGTCAGTAATTTGCCAATATTTAAAATGCTGATAGAACCAATAGTTCTACCTTGTATAAATAATATTTCTGTGACATAGAAGAGCAGAAGAAGCATCACACACCCTATTAACTTTCATGGTTTTTTTAAACAGGGTTTTAGACCAAGTCCCCGCCACATTAGAAGACGTGTCGTGCCTCGCCTTGAAGAAACGCAGCCCCTGGTAGAAGTGCATCAGCTGAGTGAGCAGGAAACATCGGTCAAGAAAAGGAAGATCAAGAAAAGCAGCAGAGTCCAGCCAGAATTCTACCATTCTGTTCAAGTCACACCAACTCGAAAGCCAGTAAGTTTTCTTTCCGTTCTCAGTGCAGTGATCTTCAAAATACATTGTGTAGACTGCAGTTAGCCTGGATCTGTCAGATTTAGGCAGTGCAGGAATAAGAAGCCCTAAAACTGATAGCATCTCAGGTCGGATCCTCTTCCCAGCAACATGCAGCCTTGGAACCCTACAGCTAAGTCCCTGTGGCAGCAGAGTAGGTCAGTGAAAAAGGAGAGGCACCAGAGAGGTGCTTTCCAGGATAAACAGGTGCCCCCAGTCCCCTGTATAAAAGCCAGGCTGCCAATATGTGCATGTACGGACATAGGAAGCTGACTTATATTGAGTCAGACGGTCAGTCCACCTAGCTCTACATTTGCTGAGGGAAGGCAGACTAAAAAAATGGAGGCATTTTTCAAGAATGATAAAAATGAAAATAAAACAAAGAGGTCTGGGGTTGTTGTTTTTAGCTCAGCTCTAGGTGTTACACTGCACTGGATTAGCAGTTTCGTTTCGTTTCCAAATTGAGATTATCAATTCAAAATAAAAAAGATAAACTTTCGAGAAAGAAAGGATGTTTTTATGAAGGCTTGTAAAGAGCCACTCACCTCCTTACCTGCTGTGAATAGGATCTGCTAGACTAGTTAAGTATTCTGTTCCCCACAGTGGCAAGCCAGCTAGATGCTCTATTTTGTTTCTTATCCATTTTTCAATATCCCTTTAAAAAATTCTGTTCTCATCCCACTGGCCTCTGCTGGGGATAAAGAAACCCTGACCTTGCATGGAAAGAACTATTGATTAGCTACCCCTGATTGCCAGCACAAGGAGCAAAGTAAACTGAGATGTCGAATGAAGGGTCTAACAATATGAAATCTGCGCAAATAGCTTTCGTGCGCTATAGACAAGGGTCAGCTGAGTCACTCCAGTGCTGCACAGCTTGTGACTGAAGGGGCACAACAGTGAAATGAAACAGGCAGGTGGTAATCTTATTGTGTACGTCAGTGCTTTTTAGTCATCCTTCCTTGACACTTTTCGTAAAACATGCTGTTAAGACCTGGTTTATGAGAGCAGGGCACTTGGATGTTGTCAAATGCCTCAAATTATATTTTTGTATGAAGCAGCAACCAGCAATTTTTTTTAATCGTAAACTCCTTTAAGTTGTGCCAGAATCTTGCTTCCTAAATTCCATATGCCAAAACCTCGCTCCCCGAAGGCCACGCATTGTGCATGTGGTATAAGAAATACATTTTAAAAAGCTTGAGATTCAGTCTAAATTTTCATTTTAAAAAATGTAGGATTTAGAAACTCTTTTACTTTATAACACCAATATGGAAACCAACATCTAGCTAAATTTGCTGTTTTACAAGAACAAATCAGTTATCCCTTGTCTCCGCACCACACACCTATCCTTATAGCAACATTTATGTAGGTTCCAATCCAAACCCCTTTTGCACTAGGTTGTGGAGGGAGGAGTTGGACTGGGTGACGGTGTCTTTTCACCCCAGCCTTCTCAGCCTCTGCCAGCAAAGAGCTCTCTATTCTGCCTGCAGAATGTGTGTGCAGGTTGTGAAATATCTGCAGGTGGTAGTGCTCTTGTTATGATCCTCCTTAGATGAGGCCATGATCTTCTGGTGGCTCCCAGAAGAGTTTAGATTTGATATCCCGCTTTATCACTACCTGAAGGAGTCTCAAAGCGGCTAGCATTCTCCTTTCCCTTTCTCCCCCACAACAAATACTCTGTGAGGTGAGTGGGGCTGAGAGACTTCAAAGAAGTATGACTAGCCCACGGTCACCCAGCAGCTGCATGTGGAGGAGCGGGGACGCGAACCCGGTTCACCAGATTACAAGTCTACCGCTCTTAACCACTACACCACACACCAGACCACCAGTTGAAGACCAATGGCGTAGGCAGTGCTGAGCCAGATTGACTGTCAGTCTGACTTTATATAAGGCAACTCCCTCTGTTCCTCCATGAGTAGCAGATACTTTTCGGTAGTGTAGGAACAAGAGAGTACAAAAATCAAACATCAGCTAAGCACCTACTGTTATTATGATTCTTCATCACATACTCAACAAGTCTTTGTCTCATAAATGCAAAAAGCTTGGAGCTCAGTCACAGATGTTTCCTTTTCCTGCATAACTCCTTGAAGTAATGGGTGGATAGTATAATATTCTATTATGTCACGTAAACAGTTTCTATCAAAACAGGAAGAGGAGCCCTTTATATTTAGTCACCATATACAGTAACCATGTGTATAAATGATTTTACAGACAAAAATACTCTAGGGCCTAATTGTTGGAAATATTCTTTCTCAGTGTTGAACTTTGAACTACTATTATTCAACAAATGGAAATGCTTTCAGGACTAATTTCATATTTTGTAACGATTTTTTGCCACAATTTAAAAAGTGGTGGTGGTGGGGAAATCAAGATTAAAGCTGTGAAGCCCGGTTTTTAGGAAAGTCTTTAGCATGTACTTTGGAGTATTGAGTAATGATGTTACTAAAAATCAGTAAATGATAAATAAATTTTGCTTCCTGAAACATTCAACTATAGAACCCCACCTAATAAATATTTATTTTTAGGAGAATGGAGAATAACTGGGGAAACTCAATTTATTTGTTTCCCTCCTATATTCAAAATAAGAGGTTATGAGAAGGTTTGCTTCATATACAGTTAGGAGGACACTTTCAGATATATCTCTCTTTCCTTATACTTGGAAATATCACTGATGTAGACATTAGATTACTTATTAACTTCTGAAAACCTAACTGATCCCTGAACTTCTTTCTTTCTGAAAACAAACTAGCTCAACTTAGTAACAAAACAGGAAAACAAATAATGGTGATTCCACTGGAAATCAGTGGTTGTCGTGCTACATGGCTTTTGTCTTCTAGGTTTTTCCCTGTTGTTATTCTGTATCTCACAACTACAATAAGCCTACCATTACAATTATGGACTGGTCATTTCTTCGTCAGAGGGCAAACAGGCAAATTTAACAGGGGATCAAATACTTTCCCCCCTCACTGTATTTAAATGTTAGGGACATTCAGTTATAGTTATTAAAAATATAACATGAGAGGTACTACACTTACTACTCCTTAACTGGGGTGCTAGCTCTTTTCAAATGAAGAATTATGGAATGAGCTGGACCAGCTATTTGCATAATGATCCAATAAATAAATATTCAATTAAAAGTATTTTATGCAGACATGACTCTAGGCTTCTGTAGCTTAACAGCTGTTTTACTATAGTCTTTTATTTCTCTGTTCAGTTTTCTAGCCACCAGAGGATGTTGTTTGTACTAAAGAATAAATAGCTGAGGTCAGATATATCCAGTAGAGGGAAGTGGTACACCAGCTAATGCAATATACTATCAGTTCTGTTCATTCCTGGATTTCTTTAATCTTTTCATGTATTCCTCTTGTCTGAATGATTTATTGCTGAGTCTGAAAATAAGCCCCGTGGTGCCATGATCAAAGCTGTGATGCTATCTTTATTTTGCCTTGAAATGATGAAAATGTACAATATTATGATTAGGGAATGGAAATGAATATTTAAGATTAGTATAGGAAATAAGTGACATTTACAGCTGAGTCCTTCAAATCCTAAACCTAATACACAAACACACATACACGCGTGCCGAAACTCAGCTGAAAATGCTCAATAAATTTGACAACGTAATAGAAAGGACTATGCAGAGGGAAAGAACTACAAAAAGAAAACATCTACACAGTGTCTACCAAGATGATAAGGTATTTTATTTTAACAATCCATATAATTAAAAAAAGGATAGTGGAACTATGTACAGTACAATAGTCTTAATAGTCTAAAAATACCAGGAATATTTATAAAAATACAAATTTGTTACTATCATTATTATAGCATTAATAGCTTCTAAAAATAGTATGGATCCTCCCGTGCTGTGATTTCTCCCACCATGTTTTCTATTTCATTTCAGAGGAAAAAGTTAGTGGTAGAGGCTCTCCAGATTGTTTTTAGGAACATCAAACTAAATCTATTAATGGGATTCTATGGAGCCATCTCAATGTAACTTGCCTTTCCCCCCCGCCTCCCTAGAGGTTGTTTGGCAGACAAGTTCCTTTAGTTTCCTTGCATATGAGCCAGGAGAGGAAATTCCTAAGTCATCTAATTCCTATGCTACATTTTGAATACTGAAAGCCCATGCAAGATGGCCCAGTAGTATCACAGAATAAAGCATAAACATAGCTGTCAACTTTCAGTTTTGAAAATAAGGGATCAGCAGCCTCGAAAATAAGGGATCAGCAGCCTCACCTGTCCCAGGGACAGTCTCTGGGATATCTAACAATCCAGGATAGCAGCGGGAAACGGCGCTGGAATAAGGGAATTTCCCGCAAATAAAAGGGAAAGTTATGAGCATAAATTCCATTTGTTTCTTGTACGGCATTTAATTACAGTCGTACCTCGGGTTAAGTATTTAATTCGTTTTGGAGGTCTGTACTTAACCTGAAACTGTTCTTAACCTGAAGCACCACTTTAACTAATGGGGTCTCCCGCTGCCGCCACGCCACAATTTCTGTTCTCATCCTGAAGCAAAGTTCTTAACCTGAAGCTGGAGTCCAGCATCATCTAGAGGGTCACTGGTTCCTCACTCTACAGTCCATGATGCAGTCATAACATGATGAATGCAGCTTACTAAATTTAAAACAATAAAATCCCATAAAGCCACTGCTGAAACTAATTAAAATAAAGAGAGTGTAACTTTGTTCATCAAAAGCCTGGCCAAGCAAAACTGTCATAAAATGACCTCTAATGTGTGGGTATCAAACAAATATTTCTAGATTGCATGTTCTGTTTTGTGATTAGGGCATGATCATGGAAAAGGCCTTAGCTCTAGTTTTGAGTCACCTAACATTTGAAAGCAGATCTTTTGAAGATAATAATAATAATTTTATTATTTATATCCCACCCATCTGGCTGGGTTTCCCCAGCCACTCTGGGCGGCTTCCAATACCTTAAAAAAATAATAAAAAGTCAAACATTAAAAACTACCCGATACAGGGCTGCCTTCAGATGTCTTCTAAAAGTTGTGTAGTTCTTTATCTCCTTGACATCTGATGGGAGGGTGTTCCACAGGGAGGTCACCACTGCCAAGAAGGCTCTCTGCCTGGTTCCCTATAACTTCACTTCTTACAGTGACAAACCCTCCAAGTGTCCCTGTTTTCCAGGGACAACCCTGATTTAGAGGAGCTGTTCCTGTTTCTGATTTGATCCCAAAATGTCCTGCTTTTCCTTAGGATGTCCCTGTTTTCATTGGAGAATTGTTGGAGGGTATGGAGTTATTTGACTCCTGAGCTGTCTGAAGGCAATCCTGTATATGGAGGGGTTACTTTTTAAAAATGTTTAATGTTTTATGATGTTTATATATATTTGTTGGAAGCTGCCCAGAGTGGCTGGAACAACCCAGTAAGATGTGTGGGGTATAAATAGCAAAATTATCATTATGGAATGGGATGTCCCTATTTTCATCAGAGAAATGTTGGAGGGCATGCAGTAAGGGAACCACCAGAAGCCCCTTGGAGGAAGACCTCAGTGTTCAGGCTGAACAATGGGGGTGGAGACGCTCCTTCATGTATACTGGGCTGAGGCCCTTTAGGGCTTTAAAGATCAGCACCAACACTTTGAATTGCTTGGAAATGTACTGGGAGCCAGTGAAGACCCTTTTGACAGGTGTTATATGGTCCCAGCGAGCACTCCGTCACCAGTCTGGTGCCTCTTGTAGTTTCCAAGTCACCTTCAAAGGTAGCCCCACAAAGAGCGCATTGCGTGTAGAGCAGTCTAAGCAGGAGATAACCAGAGCATGCACTACGCAGGTGAGACAGTCTGCAGGCAAGTATGGCCTCAGCTGGCGTACCAGATGGACCTGGTAGACTGCATCCTTGCACACAGAATTGACCTGTGCCTCCATGGACAGCTATGAGTCCAAAATGACTCCCAGACTGTGCACATGGTCCTTCAGGGGCACAGTTACACATTCAGAACCAGGGGTTCCCCCACATGCTCACCCTGCCCCCAGTCCCCCCAAAACAGTACTTCTGTCTCATCAGGATTAAACCCCAATCCATTAATCTCCAACTGCCTCCAGGCACTCACAGAGGACAGTCACTGCCTTCACTGGTTCTGATTTAAATGAAAGGTAGAGTTAGGTATAATACGAGAGAAGGTGAACCTGTATGGTAAATATTGTTTTAGCCCTTTTAATTGGCTTTACTGCACTGTATAATTTCTGTTGTGGCTTCCTATTAGGTCATCATTTTATGTTGATGTCAGGGTAAGCCATCATGCTGCAAAAGCTGTTTGAAAGGGGAAATACATAGATGTGATAGACATTTTCTAGCCATTTAAGAAATGGCTGCAATTTGGATAATTTATTTTGCAAACCATACTGGGAAGAACAACACAGGGTCAGTAATCATATGTCTCAAGCTTGGTACTTCTAAGATGACACAGCAGCTGCCGCCAAGATGACACAGCACAGGGGACCTGGAAGTAGCCTCTCTTTGATCAGCAAATGTAGGCATTGTTTGCCGATCAGGTGACAAAACACATATCAGCGCCTCATAGTCACTTAATTTGAAACTGATCCCCAAATAAAAAAATTCAGTTTGTCTCTCAACCTTGTGTTTCAAGAGGGCTGAGGAGGCCAGTATATCCTTCCCCCCCCCCCCATTTCCCCAGTTCTTTGTGCCTGCACTGCATCATTTCTTGTTTACATTCCTGGCTTGCTGGTTTGGAGCCCATGGGCAGCTGCTGCTACCTGCTCTGTGGCGACTGGAAAGTCTCTCGTCCAGCCTTTAAGGACAGTGTGTTTACTGAAGCGGCCTCTCGCCCAGCGAGCTTGTGCAACCCGCCCTTTGTGCTTTCCCTTGAGGAAAAGAGCAAATCTACATTTCCTGTCTCCCAAAGTCTGCGCGCTTTAGGAAGCCGGGAGCCCTCCAAACAAAACTGGGGAGCTCCGGAAAGAAGTTGATCCACCACACAAGGAAGGAAGAAGGAAAAAGAGAAAGAGAGACTTACCAGGGCGTGGTTTCAGGAATATGAGCGCAACAGCAAAGCCCCAGCATCCTGGGTTTGCGATGGGGGTTGAATTTTCCTCACCCCACATTAATGATTGAACCAGCAGCCTAGGGGTGGTACATCTTTTCTTTTGCCGGGCGGGGGAGCCAAATGCTATTGATTTGTAGCCGGGAAGCGTGCTCTCTTTTTTTCAAAATCCATCTCTTCCCTGCTCCCCCCTCCTTTCTGGCTTTATTGTTGGGCAACTCCAGAGGAGCATTGTAAGCTGGTTGCCAGAACGCCAGGCCACTCGTCTCCCTGCCTAAATCTTCCCACATATGGGTTTTCACTAAGCCACCTCTCCAGATCTACCTGTGTGTTGCCGCTGTCTGTGAGATTTAAATACACGAGCAGCAATATAGACAACAATGGTGAGCAATCTATTCATTCGTGTATTAAAAATATAGATGTATCGACTGATTGGGAGGGAGGGAGGTTTCAGTTCCGTCTGTTTCTGACTGATTTTCCTAGAGGGCGATCTAAACAGCAAAAGGATGTATTGCTTTATTTTGAGAGCAAAAATTGATTCTCTAGTCTCAGGTTTTTATTTTGCTTTTAATCGTCTTCCCCCCCCACCTTTCTCTAGAGCTCAGGAAACGCTTCCTACAGATGCTCCATGTCATCCTCTGCGGATTTTTCAGACGACGATGATTTCAGCCAGAAATCTGGTTCCCTGTCCCCGGCTCCGGGTGACACCCTGCCCTGGAACCTACCTAAACACGAGAGATCCAAGAGGAAAATTCAAGGAGGCTCTGTGTTGGATCCAGCTGAGAGAGCTGTGCTCAGAATCGCCGGTAAGACCAGGATGGAAATACATGGGAGATGGAGGGGGGAGAGAGAGACTTGCATAGTACAGTAACTCTGCTCACGTGTCCATATTATTGTGGGTTTATTTGTGTATTACAAAGAGTATAAACTGAGAGCTTTGTTTATTGCTTCTGTTATTTGCGTTTTTAAAAGCACACACACGAAACTCATGGTCCTCCATGCTGTATTTTCTAGTGTTGGTAGTGACTAAGCTTTTTGGCCTTGGTGTTTTTTTTCTGGCTGGGTGGATTACTGCATGTGTATGGAAGAAAATGCAGCTGCACTACGTGCAGGTGTTAAAATTGCATTGGAGGGTTGCATAAGAGTGAAGAATATGTCCATTTTGTATGGTGTGTGTAGCATAGCAAGGCTGCTGGTGAGATACAGGAACTTGAAGCATGCTTTAGGAAGGGTACCGTCCTCTGTACCCAGCAGTAAATGCAGACTTACTTCTGAGTAAACTTACAGAGGGCTGGTTTACAGAATACTTCCAGGTTTGTTTGTTTGTTTTTATAATGGGTGGGTTTGCTTGAAAGTTGCTGAACTGATGTGGGATCACCAGAAGTCGGGTTTCTCTGTCTGGTCTTGTTGTGTTTGACGCTAGCAGGGGTCACCGGGCTCCTGAATAATATAGGAGAGGCCCTGCTGGATGCTCTGTATAAGACAGAAGAGCATTTGATCTTCATTGGTTTTGAAATAGGTCAGGGAGTTTGCTTGGCCAACCCGGCTGCAAATTGAGAAGGAAGAGTAATATGATCCGGGAGAGAAAACGCGGTGCTTGTTGTGTCCATGCTATTAGTAAAACCCCTCACAGGAATGAAAGCACGCAGCTCGTACATGCAGATGCAGAGCAGTTGTTTTGCAAAGACAAATCTACTTTGCAGCACTCGCTAATGGGGTGCGCTGGGAAAAGCTTGGTGGAAGGGGCCACTTCAGACTGGCTATTTTATTTATCAGAAAAGGGAGGGGACCGGGCTCACACCAATGTGGAAGCCCCACCCGGGAAGTTCTGCTATCAAATCCCGAGATTTATGGGTGGCCTGAGACTGTCTGTGGCGTGAACAAAATGCACTTTGCACATGCACACGCGTCCTCCCACAGTCTAGGGCTGAGCTTTGGGAAACGCTTCCGGTGCTTGCCACGATGACTGGACGAAGCCGGCGGGGACGCGGTGGCGGTGGCGCTTTTTGGAGCCCTCCCTCCTCGCTGCTCCTGTCTTGGCGGTCGCGGGAGCCGGGTTTTCGCCCGAGAGTTGTGCGCGTCTGCTTTCTCTGTTCGTTCGTGTTTGGTGCCTGGTTGCAGCTGGCGCTAAGGGAATCGCCGCATGATGCAGATCGAATCCTATTCCCATAGCAATCGAGCCGAACCCTTCCCCATTAGATTCTCAGTAACGCCGTGCAGGGCGCAGAGGGTATGATGGTTAAGAATGACAACGGGGAGCAGAACCCGAGACCGGCTGCGCCACGTGCCCCCGCTCGGAAGTGATTGCGCCGTTTCCTCCCGTTCAGCTCCCCCCCCCTTTTTTTTTTTTTGCTGCATGTCGCCTGTTTTGGTGTTGGGACAGACGGGGTGGGGGCATGGAAAAGCCCCACTTGCTTCATCTCTAAGACACTAGTCAGAGAGGGGGGTGTGGGGCGAGGCAGGAAGGACCCATCCCGGTCTGCTGCGAGGCCGGAATGAAAAGGCCGGGTCGGCGAGCAAGCGGAGCGGGGAACAAAACACACATACATATATACAGGCTTGGCGCGCACGCGCAGCGATGGCTGCCGGCGGCAACAAAAACAGGGTGACCGGCGGTGACACCTGCAGCGCCGGAGCGCCGCCCCTTGGCCTCTCGCCACCCCCCAGCTCTGGCGCAGTTGACTCTTGTTGCCCTTCGCCAGGCAGCCGAAAGCGCGCCGAAGGGGAGGAGGAATGGGGCACCGGTGGTGGCCCCGCCATTCCTGCTGAGGAGCCTTCTTTCTGGGATGGGGAGGGATAGGGGGAGCGGTGGGGCTTTGCGTCGCCGCCACCCCCCCGGCCCTTCCTTGGGAAGCCAAGAGCTATTCCTAGTGGCAATGGCAACGTGCAATGCGCGTCTGCAGAGGGAGGGAGAGGGCGGCGCTGTGAGAGGGGAGGAGGAGGCTCTCGCAGGTGATCCCGCCGCTACTGCTGCTGCAATGAGGCTGTCTGGGTTCGGAAAGCGCCGGCTGGCCGGCGATGTGGGCGAAAGCCCCTTTGAGACGGAACCGCGACCAAGCCAGCCCCCTTGCTTTATTGTGCAGACAAAGCCGAGCAGAGAGTGGGGAGCGCAGCCAGGGAAGGCTATTCAGGAAGGTCACCAGACCAAGTGTTGGGGCGGAAGCCTCTCCTCCAACCTCCAGAGCGGGAGCAGCCGCGTTGTAAGGGTCCGTTGTTGCTGCAGAAGCAGCAGCAACAAAGGGACTTGTGGCACCTTGAAAAGTCAGATTTCGTGGGCTGAAAGCCCGGTCCAGAAGGGGAACAGAGAGCACTGTACCTCCTTCCCACTCCCCTCCTTCCAATGAAGTTGTAGCCTTTGAAAATGAGAGAGGGGGCGCGATTTCGAAAGCGCCGTCTGTCTAAAATGTGTGGGGCAATTTATAGGGGTGGGGGAGAAGAAGAAGGGTAAACGGTAAAGGGGCTACTGTACAAAAGCTCCCCCTCCCAAGCCAAGAACCTGGTGCCAAACGCTTGAACCGCATGGAGCAACGCAGGTTAATAAAGCTCACCAACACAGCCACGAGCTCGCTGGGAACCGCTAGCTTGCAGCCCTGCATAACACGATGAAGCCGGGTCAATAGCGATTGTAGTACTGTATTTTCCGTGAGTTTCCACTCCAGACCAGCCGAAACTCTCGAAACATAAGAATCGCAGCGAAGGGCTGGCGCTGATTTCAGGGGTGCTTTTTGATAGGACTTACTATAAAGGGGGACTTCAAAGGGAGAGCTCCGCAAAGCCCCTTACTTTTTAAAAGGTTACATCGATCTTGCGCACATTTACTTGAGAGCAAGCCCCATTGAAGTCCATGGCACTTACTTGTGAGTAGGCACGCGTATGGTGGCACTATGATTTTCCCCCGCCCCCAGGAAAAGAGTGTGTTCCCGGCAGTTGAGGTAGACAAACGATTTACAGCGCAACTCTACGCGTCGTTTGCTCAGAAATGCAATTCTCCCAGGTGGCTCGCTCTCCGCTGGGTGCATAGGATTGCCTGAAAAAAGCCGGAGGGAAGGAGGCGAAAAGGTCCCGCGACTGAAAGGAGAATTTGGGAAGCGGGTGGGCGCGAAGACCCAGGAGCCCGTCCTAAGGGAGGGGAGGAAAGAAAAGCAGCCGGCGCCGGAGGTCACCTCCAGGGCCGGGTCTGTGGCATCCATGCCTTGCCTCCTTCCTCCGGTTCTCTTTCTCCGGCTGCTAGCTGGGAGCGCAGAGATTTGCTGCTAATGAAATCCGAGAGGGAGGAAGCCCTTTCTATTGGAGGGACACACGTGCTCCCACACCGCTCGGGGAGGGGGCATGGGCGTTTCCTCGGACAGCTTGCACGGCAACAGCCCCCTCCCTCCCTCCAGCCTTTTTGTGCCGCTCCCCAAGGCTGCTTCGCTGCCCGGCTCCTTGGAGGGAACTGATCAAGGCAGTGTCAAAAACTTCAACCATGGCTGGTTATCTCTCCCCTGCTGCTCACTTCTACACGGAGGAACAGGAGTACCTGCAGGCTTATGAAGATGTGCTGGAGAGATACAAAGGTACAGTGAAGCTTAAGTTGTGCCCCGGGGTAACCCGGGAGAGGGATTTACCGGTTGCAGTGCTGATGATCTGGAGCTTTGCCTTAAAATAGCTACTGGTGGCTGCCGTGGAACAGGTGGCAGAATCAGGTCCCTAAGACGTTTGGCTATTCAAGCCCATTAAATGGGGCTGTTAAAAGACAGTATGCAGGCAGGGGAGGGGTATAGGAATGCATTGAAGTCCGTTGTATCATGGGGGGGGGCACTTATCCTGAAGCAAGGCTTTCTTTCTCTCCCTCCCTCCCCTTAAAGCGCTTTCCTCTCTGGGTGTGAGAATGCTGCTGATACCTCAATGAGATTACTGTATTCTAAGACCCTGCTGCCTGATGTTTTTGTGTAGGGCAAGATGTTTCACTCTTCATTTTGCGGCATAGGGCTGCATTCTGGATCGCTAAGAAACGACAGCAAAATATGGCTTGGAATATTTTGTTTCAAATAGCAGCTCAAAAATAAAAAAACACATCAAAACTATTTCCTTTGCAGTATATATCTGTGCTGAGAATTCCATCCTGTTACGTCTCTCTGTCAACTGCTGTTAGGAGGATGACTTTGCATCTAGGCTAGGAGAACAGTATGAGGCCTTTCCTCTATTTACTCAATGGAGACAGAAGTTTCTAGCCTCCATAAAATCCCAGTGGCTTCTTGTATCACATTAAAAATAAGTTTTATTATTATCTTATCGTGGGTGATATGGAAATGCACCTAAATCAGATTAGGCATCCGTTTGGAATAAGGATATCTTCATAGTAATGACTACAGCAATTAGTAACTATTGAATGTATTCGTAGCTATAGCTTGGTTTTTACTGTGAAAGCCAACATTTTGGCCCCTAAATATATGTTGCACTTACTGTTGTTTGAGGAACAGGAGGATGTTATGAATTAGTGTTGGTCTTATTTGCATAATTATTTGATTTAAATATTTGAAGTGATAACATGTCCCAGAGTTGACAAGGGTTTAGCTGATCTGTACCTGTTTTTAATGGGGATGGCATAGTTACAATCCTTTTTATTTAATAATCTCATTCATTTTCACCTTTGGCGTTACAGAAAAATACCTTGCAATGTGATCTTGCAGATTCTGTCTTGTCCAGTTATTGCAGCTTGCACTGAATCTGCCTTGCTTATAATTTATGTATCATTAAAAGGAATTTAATGATTCTTTTGTGTCTATAGCCAATTGCATAAGTGCAGCTATGGAGCATGTGCAGT